CTCTCTGCCTACGGTTTACCGGGCAGTTCTATTTGACGATATATATATATTTGACGATATATATATATATATATATTTGACGATATGTTTGTGACGATATATATATATATTGTCCTCTTCTCTCTCTCTGCCTACGGTTTACCGGGCAGTTCTGTTTGTGACGATATATATGAGGAGTACTCCTGATCTCACCCTTGCTGGACGTTCTCCTTGACATAAACCTTGTACGCAGAGTTCCTCCCGTCATCGCTATGCGCAGCGGTCTAATAGATTTGACTGGGTTGCGCATCATGATTGGAACACTAGTCTCTATGATGCAGGCCACTGGTTCGAAAAGTGACTCCGCTATGTGTGGCAGCAGTGGCCCGAGCGGAACAATGTGAACTGCAATTACGAGGCATTGATTAGAGCCTCATTCAACCGGGAATGGATGCTCTGTCAGCCCCTGGGGTTATTTATGGTAATTATTCAGATACCATCTGGCTTCACGTACCATCGAGACATCGAAGTCGCGTTCGGTTTTTCACATCTATCATATTGTCTTCTTCTTCTTGTTTACTTGATGGTCCCCCCGTTGTCTCGTCGCACAGGTACAGTTCTGTTGGCATGTACATGACATAGCCTCTGCTCCGAACACTATGAAGGGATGGTCGCTGCCAACCTCTCCCACGAAATCTGCGATCCCGTGTCTTGTGGTCATCCCTCCCAACCCGGTGATTACTTGCCCAGCATGCCGTTGTGGCCTTGATCTGCCATGCTTAAATAACTGTGCACGTCAGCCTTCCATACTGATGACATGCCAGCAACATGCCATGTGTCGTCAATGTTTCCAACAAGCTGTCATAGAAAGTATGTGTCTTTACTGCGTGGACTATCCCCCGTGCCATCGTCCGCCACGTCCGCTCCTAGCATCTCCCACATGCGGTGTTGGTCATACACCTTTGGCAACCGCATACAAATTTCCCTCTTCCTTGCCAGACTAACGACAGATACACCAGCCCGAGGAGGAAATAGGCTTTTCCATATGCACCACCTGCAGAGCGATGTGCCGATACTCGATCACCACCTGGGTGAGGTGTTGTGGACCAAATCCTGCATCAGCTGAGCACCCTTGCTTTGGACGGATCCTCCCTGTCGTTACCGAGGAAACCCAAGAAAGATGCTCGATGCCGCTTCGCGATGACCCGCCGGAGGTTCAACTAGCATGTGGTTCACATGCCTTGTGCCGTCAGGATTATGAAGGGACAGTCTATGTGAGTTTTTGCTTTCATACGTACGACGACAGTCAGTACTGTACTCGTGTACGGCACCCTGACATGTCATGTCTAATTTGTAGACGGGCTGGAACGGCAGTGCCTCCGTAATTGCGGTCGACGTGCCTCCATGTTCCAATCATGGAGGAGCCACGTAGTGTGTGACATCTGTCTGCGCCGGGCCATTCGATGCAGCAACTGCAACTGCGAAAATTGGATGCGGTGCTTGCACAGTTCACACCTGAACCGGTCCTTTCCGGTCTCTAGGGGTGGCCACTTATCATAGGCAATGGATCCTCCTCGACTCAAAATCTTATGCAGCCCAAACACAGTTTTAACTGAAGAAACCCCAGCTAAACACAGTTCTAGACGGTTCTATAACTCATATTGTGATTCATTTTGCTTGCTAGAGGTGAAATTCTTTAATTGTTGGCCTGGCTCAACTCGAATCTACTTGTCTGGGTGGAAGAGGGATCCTCTTGTTGTCCAAACTCCTCCTTGTCTACTCCTCTCTTATTCAAACAATAAACAATAATAATGATGATGAATGGCTGAATTAAAATCAATGTCCAAATCCCTCTCCTACTGCGAGCACAACAAGAGGACCTCCATAGCCATGGCAGCCCTTCTCTCTCTCTCTTCAACTAGGCCGAGGCTATGGCCGACTACTAAGGTCCTTTCCCTGATGTGCGAATGACAACGCAAAGCAGCTATGGCCTCTTCCTCTGCGGCCGCCATGCCTGAGTCTGCCTCGAAGCTTCTTGATGCAGCTCTAACCCAACGGGGGCCTTGCGCCCACCAAGGTGATGAAGATGGCGTCCACCATAGCCAGGTAAGTACCCCTGGCGCTCCACTCTCCTAGTCCCTTCTTCCTCCTCCTGCCTGCGATCCTCCACCATAGCCAAGGTGGAGAGCTGGGCGCTCCTCTTCCCCTACAACGCTGCACACGAGCGCTGTTCCTCCGGCACTCCAGCAGCATGTCGCCCAAACTTGCTTGGGAGGTGACTTCCAGGCCGCGTGGCCTCCGAGCAGCTCTAAGATATAGCGGCCAACTTGCCTCTTGGGCGGCGACTTCCAGGCCGCGCGGCCTCCGAGCAACCAGTACCTCCTCCCTTTCCGAGGGAAACATCATTGCAGGCTCTGATATCGTCCGCACATGGCACAGGCCGTAGACTACAGACTACTTGGACTGGTACCCGCCTAGACCTAGCCTACAACTACTGGGCCTCTAAAAACGCCAACTTTGTCTTCTTCTGCTCGGCCTCCAGTCCCCGGCACATCTACCGCTACTCGAGTGTTTTTCCCCCGCTGCTCTAAGCGTCACGGGCCTACTCCCGCTACTGGAGCGTTTTCGCCGCTGCAACCCTCTGTCACGGCCACAGGTAAGTACCAGGCCTACTCGGCCTCCCAAGCAAGCAAGTACCCAAGTACCAGCCCTACGGGGCCTCCCAAGCAAGCAAGTACCCTTGCGGGTCACAAACACACTCAAGCCGATAAGCACTCAGACAGGCACGCCGACCAGCAAACACGCACGCACACAGACCTAAGTTAGGTAACTCAGCAAAATGCGGGAATCTCAGTAAGGCATTCATTCCAGCAGCAAAACTCAGAAAGCAGTTGTGTTCTCAGCCGTTGTTTTGGCAGGTCCTTACACACACGGCGGGAGGTGTTCTTGCCGTTCGGCAGGTAAACTGCCTCCCTGCCCAGTTTTTTTTTTTTTTTAATTAAAATTAAAAAAATATGTAGTGTGAAGAAGCCCCCCTCTGCTATACATCCCCCCCCCAAAAAATAAATTAACGATAAAAAAAACGTTCACATTCTGGCCGAACTTGTGGCAGGCGGTTCCCGAATGCTCGCTGGCTACTCTAGTCACAGATATAGAAAAATTGTGAATTAATTTTCAAATTTCAATTACATCGGAGTGAGTTGCTAAGTTTTGACAAAAGTTAGCCAGTGGACTATCGCTGCCTTGGTTGGACGTATCGTTTCGTTATGATAATTATTGCCTTAAGAATTTCCATTGGATCGTCATGTTCATCTGTTCGCTTCTGTGGTTGGATGCTTTGTCTGATGCTGTGCAGTGGAGGCCGTATTAAGAGTTAGAAATGGCGGCAGCAGCGGCAGCCACCAATTGCGCGACGAGAACTGGAGTACTGCAGTCGTCATTAGCGACGGAGCATAAGCAGAATGCGGCGCCCGATTCCGGGAGGGTTGAGGGGAGTTTGTTCATGGGCAAGCCGGTGGGCACTTCGACCTCAGGTGCCCTGGACTCTGGCTCTGTTGCATTGCCTGCAGACTACAATGGTTGCTCCGCCGTTGAGGATCGCAAGAGGGGGAACGGTATAAAGACCTCTGCGGTCTCACAGCCGATGACAACAACAGAGGCGAAGTCGGCTGCCAGCGGCCGGTCGCAATTGCAGGACTCTCCTCTGCCTACTAAGCCCACAATTTTGGTAGCTGAGAAACTAGATAAGCAGGGCATCGAACTGCTGAAGGAGCATGGGAATGTGGACTGTTCGTACAATCTGACGTTGAAGGACTTGTGTGCCAAGGTCTCGCTGTGTGATGCGCTCATTGTCCGCAGCGGAACGAAGGTGACGCGCGAGGTGTTTGAGGCGTCGCGAGGCCGACTCAAAGTTGTTGGACGGGCTGGAGTTGGAATCGACAATGTTGATCTCGAGGCTGCAACAGAAGCAGGCTGCCTCGTGGTGAACGCGCCGACCGCAAATACAGTGGCAGCAGCTGAGCATGTGATTGCGTTGATGACTTCTCTTGCTCGCAATGTGGCACAAGCAAACGCCAGCATGAAGCAGGGAAAATGGGAGCGGGCCAAGTACACTGGAGTCTCCTTGGTCGATAAGACGCTGGCGATCATGGGATTCGGGAAGGTTGGATCGGAAGTTGCTAGGCGAGCGAAGGGGCTAGGAATGAAGGTCGTAGCATACGATCCGTATGCTGCGCAAGACCGTGCACGTGCAATCGGTGTGGAGCTTGTAAGCTTTGACGAGGCTCTGCAAACTGGCGACTTCTTTTCGCTCAACATGCCACTGACGCCGTCCACGGCGAAGATCTTTAACGACAGCGCATTTGCGAAGATGAAGGGCGGTGTGCGCATTATAAATGCGGCACGTGGTGGCGTCATTGACGATGATGCACTCATTCGTGCACTGGACTCGGGGAAAGTCGCCCAAGCAGGGCTGGATGTCTTTAGCGAGGAGCCTCCTCCCAAGGATAGCCCACTGTTGGCCAGAGAGGATATCGTTGTCACGCCTCATCTTGGCGCCAGCACAATCGAGGCGCAAGAGGGAGTCGCAATTGAGATTGCAGAAGCTGTTATTAATGGGCTGCAAGGCACATTGTCTTCCACGGCAGTGAATGCACCAATGATTCCCAGCGATCTTATTGCCGAGCTCGAGCCGTACACTGTACTGGCACAGAGGCTGGGCCGCATAGCCGTCTCGCTTGTTGGTGGCACTAAAGGCATCCGCGATGTGACGATCACGTACCGTACAAGCCGGGATGGCACGGATCATGATACGCGCCTGCTGCGCGCATTTGTGATCAAAGGACTTGTGGAGCCCATCGTTTCCGACACAGTTGTTAACATTGTTAATGCTGATGTGATTGCGAAACGACGAGGGCTGCGAATTACGGAGGTTCGGCAGTCTGCGGACGGGGATGATGATGTACCGGTGGAATCGATTCTCGTTCAGGTTAACGGGAGCGAGTCAAAGTTTGCCAGCTCACTTGCTGAGGACGGCAGCATATCGGTTCTGGGACGAGTCGAGAGTGGCATTCCTCACTTGATGAAAGTCGGCCAGTTCTCTGTGGATGTAGTATTGGAGGGAGGTGTCATCTTTTGTCGGCAGCGTGACGAGCCAGGAATGATCGGCCGTGTGGCATCTCTTCTCGGTAGCGGCCATGTAAACGTATCGTTTATGAGTGTGACGAGGCACCGGCCTAAGGAGCTTGCGATCATGGCGATAGGAGTCGACGACGTACCGACCGAGGAGCTGCTGGCAGAGATATCACATATCCCGCACATTGAGGAGATGGTGTACTTAAACATCAACTGATTTTGCCGATTGATCGTCAACTGCATCATGGTGCTTCGAAACGCACACAGGTTTCGACCGGCGGCCGACCGAAAAAGAGACGATGCAGCGCTTGTCGCTTTTGTTTTGATGATGGAAAATGTCATGGGAGAAAAGAGTGGCACAACATAATGCACAGATATCGCCGTTGGAAGAGACTAGGGACGCCGATGGGATCTTGGTTCATAACTGCATACGGAAGCCGCATGCTCATCCTCAAAGAATACACATATAGGGCCTCACTCCACTACTACCTGGAGCTAACGATTGTCCAGATACATTCGAAATGCTGGACTCCTCCGAATGGACATGGTCCAAGAGGGTGTCCAAATGCATGTAGAATCTTGAGTGGTGGAGCGAGTCCCATAAGCTGTTGTTTTTGCTGCTGTTGTTGCAGGAGAGGAGAGGGGAGGAAAATCGCAAGTTTGGTACTTAACCGACGTCGGTTCAGTCGGAAGCTCGACAAAAGGAAAAGGTTGTCTCCATATACCACACTGGCCACAGATCTGGGCAATTGGATCATAAAAGAGTGTTCAGTGCCCCTCCCTCGTGGGGGCGGCTTCGGTCATAGTTTGGGATATTGCAGCACAATGCGTAGATATGTGGCTGCACTTGGACGGAAAGGTCTTCACTGCCTCCCTTCGTTGCTGACTGCTAAACACAGGTAACTCTGGTTTCAACCGCCACCAACCACTACCTCTCCCAACTTCCCTCCGCTTATTATCAGGTAGTGCCCCATTCCTTTTTGAGCTGGCCACTTGGAATTTTTTGACACTTGGTGGCCAGGTGATAAGGCCAGCACTTGTGTTTTGAGCTGGCTGCACTTGAGGTACTGTCTCTCTGCAGGGGTTAATCTCTTGTGTCAGGGGGTAGTAGCAGTCTTAAGTTCTTAACAGATAGAAAATATGACAAAACACACACACACACAATCATATATATGTTGATGTCCACTTGTGTAGGCTGCTGGCTGCACTTGAGGTACTGTCTCTCTGCAGGGCGTAGTAGCAGATCTTAACAGATCTGCTCTCTCAAATCCTCCTGATTTGTCAGGAGGCAGTAGCAGTTTAAGTTGGTTTAACAGATCTGATCTCTCCAATCCTTTTTTTTTTTTTTTTTCTTCTCTCAAATCCTCCGAAATTCCGAATGAATTCCATAATGTTAGGGGCCACATGCTTCAGAAAAACGCGAAAGACGAAAAACGAAGCAGAAAAGAAGTAAGATCGAGAGGGCGATTAGATACAATGCGCATCTCTGAATGTCGCATGGTGCATCCTTAGTTTTTCTTTTCACATATTGGGTGGACGCAATTGCAGTCAGATTCATCTACGTCGGGCCGTAATTGCAGTCAGATTCATCTACGTCGGGCTGTAATTGCAGTCAGATTCATCTACGTCGGGCCGTAATTGCTGTCAGATTCATCTACGTCAGGCCGTAATTGCAGTCAGATTCATCTACACCGGGCCGTAATTGCAGTCAGATGCATTTGGCAAAGTGCCAGTGTGAGTATGCCGCTGAGTGTTGGCAATTCACGATACAATACCCATTTCTTAAGCAGTTTTTTAACTCACTGGCGATGTTGCAGTTGCGGCCACCCGTTTTTTTTTTTTTTCCCCCTTCTGAAACGGCTGCCTTTTGCTTTCCAATGTCTCAGTGACGATCCTCCTAAACCGGACGTCTAAGCACGGACGGAGGGAGTCTGAAATGAGCATTTTTACGACGATTGCAGTGGAATCGTCATGCCATAACTCTGCTGAGTGGAACGCTGCTCACCTTCTTACTTATCCACTGCTTCTTTTTCTCCTTATCCGCTTTTTTTTCGTCTTATCCACTGGTGCTTTTATTGAATTTTATTGTTAATTTCTTAATATTTCTTATCCATGTTTTTTTCGTCTTATCCGCTGCCCTTCTTCCGTCTTATCCACTGGTGCGTTTATTGAAATTTATTCTTGTCCATGTCTTTTTTCGTCCTATCCGCTGTCCTTCTTTTTTTTTTTTTTTTTTTTTTTTTTTTTTTTGGTTTTTTTTTTTTTTTTTTTCCCTTTTTTTTTTTTTTTTTTTTTTTTTTTTTTTTTAATCTGCAGCGTTTCTTTTCGTTTGCAGTGATCGGGCCTCGCCACACCACTCTTGAAGAAATGTGAAAAAGACAAATGTGGCGGGTGCATCTGGCCGTATACTAGCGGGAAGTTCATTCTCATTTTGCAGATTTTGAGACTGGTGTGACGATCCCCATCTTCCAGTCTCCATGGCTTAGAGTTGTCAGAATTAGCATGGTTAAAATATCATCAACATCCGCCGATCTTCGTCTTATTCTCGCGGGCTCTGTTTTTTGGTTTTGTCCTCTCTTTTCGAGTCTCTTGTCCATTTCCCACAATAATAGTCGGGTCGATGCATGCCAGCGTGCATAATTCCCAATGCAGCACAGATGTGCTGTGCTATCCTTTCCTTCTCCTTAGCTCTTTTAGAAGCGAGAAATAATGAGAAATAATCAGAAATTGTCATTAACTCAGAAAAGAATCTCTATCTCTATCTCTATCAAGGCTCTATTCTGACCATGGTTTAGACAGAGGTAAGATTGCCTGTTAGACAGAGAGGTAACATGCCTGTTAGACAGAGAGGTAAGATGCCTGACCATGGGTTTGTCATTAACTCAGAAAAGAATCTGTATCAGTGATCTCGGACGATGGTCGAGCCGGAGAGGTATAAGATGCCTGACCATGGGTTTTGTCATTAACTCAGGAAAAGAATCTCTAGCAAGGCTCTCTTACCATGGGTTTAGACTCTAGAGTCTTTAGACAGAGATGAGATGCCTGACCATGGGTTGGACAGAGAAGTGGGCTCCCTAACCGCGGTTTGCAGACTGCATCATCGAGTCCTTGAGTAGTCGGAAGATGTTGGAGTGTTCGTCCTCTAGTTGTTCTTGATTAGCTGGAGGATGGACACAAGCCTGGCGGGTCTTTGGCCTGTCGTCGCCGGAATGCAGGGAAGTGGCGATGACCGTCTTCCTCCTACTGCCGAGTACCATGAAGGACACACGTATGCTTACTTCCACGGGGATTTTCTCTCATTGCTGTGGACGCTGGTGGAGACAATTGGCTGTACCACCAGCGTGGAGTTGAACTCTCACATGCAACCGGCGGACTCTGGTATGGTGTTCTTTAGTGCAGGTTTCTCCTGTGAGAAGTTTCACGGCAATGACGATGAAGGATCTGGAAATTGAGGATTAAATGTTTGCATGTTAAAAAAAATGCAGTCACTGCAAATTTGCTGACAATGCTGGTCGACATGAATTTTATTTCATCTCCTCTCTCTCTCTCTCTCTCTCTCTCTCTCTCTCTCTCTCTCTCACACACACACACACACACACACACACACACACACACACAC